GGAGGCAGGAGACTCGCTTGAGCCCAGGAGTTGGCGGTTGCTGTGAGCGTGATGCCATGGCACTCTACCCAGGGGGATAGCTTGAGGCTCCGTCTAAAAAAAAAAAAAGAATAGAAATAGACAGAAATTTTAAAAAAGCTCTATACTTTAACTACGTCCTTCCTCCACTTTGACTTTATGTTGCCTCAATTTACATATTTTTATATGGCTTATCTCTTCACGGGTTGTATTAAGTAGTATTGCTTTTGATAGAGCAATCTTTTGGGCTTCATATTAGAGTTATGAGTGGACTATATACCATATTTACAGAACTAGAATATTCTGGGTTTGTTTGTATACTTAATTTTACTAATGAGTTTTAAAATTTCAAATATTTTCTTTTTCCATATTAGTGCTTTTTTCTTCCAGATTGAAGAACCTCCTTTAGCATTTTTTTTAAATTTTTTTGGAGACAAAGTATCACTCTGTCACCCTGCGTTAGAGTGCTGTGCTCTCAGCAACCTCAAAGTCTTGTGCTCAAGTGATCCTCCTACCTCAGCCTCCTGAGCAGCTGGGACTATAGACACCTACCAAAATGCCCAGCTAATTTTTCTATTTTTAGTAGAGACATGGTCTCACTCTTGCTCAGATAGTGTTGAACTCCTAAGCTCAGGTGATCTACCCACCTCAGCCTCCCAGAATGCTAGGATTAGAGACGTGAACCACTGCTGGTGGTACTGAATGAATCTGGGGTAGACAACTTTCTCTACTTTTCTTTGTCTGGCAAAGCCTTCCTTCTCTCTTTCATATTTGAAAGATAGTTTTGCTGGACAAAGTATTCTAGAGTAACAGTTGTTTTTTCTCCTTTGAGTACTTTGAAAATGTCATCCCACTCCCTTCTGGCCTGTCTGGTTTCTGTGGAGATATCTGTTACCAGACAAATTGGAACTGCTTCATATATATATTTTTTTTCTCTTGCTTCTTTTAGAATACCCTGTTTTTCCTTAACCTAGAGAGTGTAATTAGTATATACTTTAGAAGTTTTATTTGAATCACATCTGTTTGGTATTCTCTGACTTTCTTATACTAGGTTATTTCTTTCTCAAGTTTTATGTTATATC